GCGCAGTGCGCCTGCCGCATTTCGTAACCCAGACGAGCCGAGAAGCGCTCCGACGAATACAGAAGACGCATCCCAGCGACCTGCGCGCGCGAAGGTGAGGAACAACGCCCCTGCTCGCCCGATGCCTACCTGCATCCGCAAACATTGCGTAAGACTTCGGAAACGGAACGCGCGCGAGATTCGCCGCTCGGTAACGGACGGTCGTGATGATCGCTGCGATGAGATCACCCTCGTAAAAATCATTGAAAGTTTATTGCCGGAAGAAATTTCGAAAGTCTGCGTCCTTACGTCACTCCCGAGAGCGGAAGAACGTGAGCCAATTAGGCGGTCTTTTTTTAGGATTACGTTATATTTTTTAGGATTACGTTACGCGTGTTTTTTTTTTTCCAACATCTATCTTACCCGAATTGCGTCCGATCGATCAAATTAAACGTGAATCGCAGTTGGCAAACATTAATACAAAGAAATCCTTCGAATTTTTCATATACAAATGCAACCTGAAACATTCTAAAGAAACCAAGACAAAAGTACGCTGTCGACGTCGTTGTTCCCAAGTCGAAATTTGGATTCTACATTAAGTCTACTTAGTTTTACACTGAGTCTTCAAATGAAAAAAAAAAACAAGAAGCGGAAATAGCTTCCCATCTGTAGTATTAAGAGATCACTAATAATGCTCTTTTTATTCACTCAGACCTCTTGGGGGGAAATTTCAAATTCTATGTTAAATATATTATCTTCAAGTAGAGAAAACGGAAATAATCCCATTTATACCACCGCAAGAACACAATAGAAGGCCTCTGAAAACTCAGCGTAGAATTAAACGGACTTAATACAGAACGAAAATTTCGACTCAGGTTCCCTCGGAGGACAAGCCCTCCGAGGCTTCCCCCGAAATCGCCGGTCCTCTCTCGCCCTGACCCGATGCTTGGCGCGACAAAAGAAGCCACGTCCGAGCCCACCCGGCGCGATCGAAAGTCATCCAGTCGCCGGCATTCTGGCTCGCGGCCAGCTGACTTCGCGCGAACACACCACCGTGGCCGCGTACACCCACACGTGAGCGCTGCCTGCCTACTACACGTGCAACGACCCCGTGAACTTGAACTTGCCGGTCTCGTTCATCTCGTCTCGACCCGTCTCCCTCCGCGTCTCCCAGCGCGGATCGGCACGAATCGTTCGCCGAAACGTCGTTAAGTGCGGTGCGAAAAGAAAAGGGCGCGTCGGGGAAGCGTGCTGACGGCGACGTTGTACTTCTCGTAGAGGACGACGACGACGAAGAGGAGGAAGAGGAGAAGTGCGTTCGTTCGCGGAAGGGGACAAGTGGGGAACGCACGGTGATGTTAATCGCTACCAGGAAACAGCGGGGACTCTAGCGCGCCGGGCACCTCGTCGCCGCGGCAACATGTGCGTTTCCTCGCGCGTGTCAGGATCCGGGCGCACGGTCGAGACCCCCGGTCGGCTCAGCCGGCTCTCTTCAGTTTCTAAACTTCGAGAAGCCGCGAACATGAGCGAACGAACGGACAGACAGACGGACGAAGGAGGGAGGGAGAGAGCGAGCGAGCGAGCGAGCCGGCTAGATTTCAGATGCACCGAGTGACGCGCGCGCGCGGGCGAATCTTTATGCCGCCATATGGCGGCCTCTTCCCTCTGTGTTCTCCCGCCGGTTTTATACTCCCGTCAGACAAGTGCGGGCTGTTGTGAATGCGATTACGTGCTTCTCGCATAAACGCGATGCCGTGGCTGCTGCCGCCGCTGCAGCGGTAGCCACCGTCGTCGCTCCTCGCGTATCGCGCTCTCGCGGCCTCGCCAAATTATGCCGACGTCCGTCGACCGCGCGCGGTCGTTTAACCCTGTTAAAGAAGAGAGCCGGCGCGAAAGAACGTCCGCCGTGATATCGACGAAAATGGCGAGGCTTAACGAAGATTATCTTGCGAATGCAGCGCGACGGATTGCGTTAAGGGGTGAAAGGTCGGGAGGAAGGTCCGATCGCTTTTCGCGAGGGACGAGGGTCGGAATTTCGCAGATTCTGCGGCAACTTCTCGGCGGGGAGGTCGCCTGCAGTCGTGCGGCATCGACGATCGGCGATACCGGCGAGAGCGACTCGGCGAGAGCGCTCATCCTTGGTGCACCGGAGGACGAGGTAACTCGGTATGCGGGTCACCCCGTTCGCCAGTCAGCGTATCGCGAGATGCATTGTCCGATCAGATAACCCGCGAGTTTACGTTATCTCGCGGCCGCTACCGCATAACTCTCGCGGTACTTGCTTACTCACTCGCTCGCCTGCTTCCAGTCGTCGTACTGTGCATTTGCCGCTCGATCGAACTCGGCGGATCGAAATCTGCTAATTCCGGATTCGCACGTCTCCTTGCGCCCGATGAAATGCTCGAAGCTCTGCCCGTTAATTTTGAATTTCGGGAAGAAAACGAAAATTTAAGATTACACATACTATATTGAATGATATAATAATATATAACTATAATAATAAGGTTATCACTTTATATTCAACAAAAATATCTTGTAGGCATATTTAATAGTAATGATAATATTTATTTTATTGGAGACATAACATGACTGATAACTTACGTATGGTTACAAATACCCGAGACGAAATTTCAGTTTTACGTTAGGTCTTCCGAGGTCTTTTATTGCGCTTTTTTGATGTTACAAATGGGAAGTTACTTCGGTTTTCTCCACTTTTCTCCATTGAAAACTTAATGTGGAATTAAAAATTTCCCTCCGCAAAGGTGCACTATTAATGTTTCTTTAATAATATAAATGACAAACGAGATAATAATAATGATACACAATAATAAAGAAGTACAATGTGAATAATAATAATAACTGTACGGAGGAAAAGGTAGAAATAGAGCAGGCGAGGAAACGTTGAAAAAATGTTGATTATGCATGCGTGCGATGATCCTGAAGCGTCAGGTCAATTACCGTAATAAGCGCGGACGTCGCATGGAGCGAAGTGTTAAAGGGTTCGCAACGATCTGCGGTATGTGTGTTCCTCCGATAAGTGGTTGCGTACGCTCTTAAGGTACGCTGTCGATGGGAATACAGTGCGAGTACTTACCTTTAGTCGCGAGAGACGATCGTCTTTCTCAGAATTAGATAAGTCCCTTTATTGGTGATCGGATCACTGCGGCAGCAACAGCGGCAACGACGACGCCGGCAGCAGCAGCAGCAACGACGGCGGCAGCAAGTTCAAGGTTGACCGGGTAAAAATAGCCGGACCTTGCCGGACTCTCTCGCTCGAGAGAGAACGCGCTGCCTCTCTCGCTGCTTCTGTTGACTCCGCTCGACCGGAAATGTACTGTCCGCCGCTGATCGCAAGGACACGTCGAAGATCGTCCCTTCGAATGAGCCCATCAACTATCGGTCGCGCGTTGATTTCCAAAACGATCGAGACGATCGAGTCGCGCATGGCAACGAGCGGTATCTGCCGCGCCGAAATTTCGAGAACGTGCCTGCCGCACGCTTGTTTGTTTCCGGCAATTTCCTAATCTACGGCGATCCTCGTTAGATCGACGATCAAAGGTAAACCGAAATATGCCGAAAAATTGTCTTCCAAAAAAATAATCACGCGTTCCGCTCAGATGTCTGAGGATACCGCGATCTTGAAGATTCCTTAGGCATAAATCTAAGTCCGAGCATAAAACCGTCGGATAATTAGCGACATGAGGCACGAATCGCGCTCCGGCCGGCATCGTGACGTCGATAATGGACACTGGAATTTGTCGATCGTGGCAAGAAGCGGCGGTACGTACGGAGGTGCCGTTAACGGTGCCCGGTCGTTGTCGTCGTGGCTCCTGCGAAAAAACGTACCTACACCTCGCCCGCGCAAGAAGAGCGCTCGGAATGACTCGGACGACCTTAGTCGTGCACCCAGAAGAAACATCGTCCGGCACGTGAACCCTCGACGACAAAGGTATAACGAGGTCGAGCGTGTCAACGGCTCTATCACGCAACGGTCCCCGGCCGCGTGCCTCGCGAGCCTAAATCTCGCGAACTAGGTAAAGAGCACGCGAGAAAAGTCCGATGGACGAACCGGACCTCCACGGGGTCGGGTCGCCCCAAGTCGCGACGACCTGGCGAGAACCAAGATTCCGGCCGTATCGCGTTGTCGTGTGCTCGAGTGTATTACGATGATTTTCCATTGGCGACTAAAAATCGTACGCAGAGAAAGATACCTTTCTATTGTCAGAGAAGCGATTATTCAATTTATTTGTCTTCGTTTAAGTAATAGTTCTTTTCAATACAGAATATTTTCTCTAGTCTTCAAATATATTCATTGCAAATTTTGAAAGAACTCATTATCACTAGAAAAAAGAATTTATTCTCTCTCGCTCTTTTCAAGAATATTATAAACTTTATTGAAGACAAGTTAAATCCGGTTAATTTGAATAAGCAAACCGATATTTGTTTTAGAACCGCCGAGCGTAGGTGCCAATTTGGCTCTTATTTTTATTTTTGATTACTGAAGAGTTATCTTGATGTTACTTGCATTATTTGAGATTATATTCATATTTAAAGTGACAAAAAGTCAGGGAAAGTTATTGATTAATACAAACATTTGTAAGATTCATAGCAGTTTTAAAAGTCAGCGGAGCCAAAACGGTACCATCGGTGGTTCCAACGTGAATTGAATATTTTTTATCGATGTACTAAAGTTATACAATAGGATTCAGAATATATTTTTAATAAATTTAATAAACTTAATATTTTTAATAATTAAATAAATTTCATGCTTATAATTGAACTTATATATACGGATATATAAACTTGTAAAATATTTGAAACGAGTAATATTTATTTAAATGCATTTTTTTATTTATGTATTATGTATTTTTCTGTGTATAAGAACACGGGAGGATGACAGGATGTGCGGGACATGAGAGATGATTTAGCGGTTACCGCTGCGAGGAATAATAAAAAAACTAGTATTGTATATACTAAATATCGTATAATTACCGTAGGTACATAACACAATAACGCTAGAAGGGGTTCAACGTCACTTTTTATTGAATATTCAAAGTGGTAACACTATAGTAGCGACATTTCTCATAAGTGTAATAAACGATTAGCCTAAAAACTTCCGCCGTAGCATCATCATCATCGTCCCCACGGTTCATCTTGATCGTCGTTATCGTAACGTATAGTATCGTATCGCCAAATAGCTTTTCCTGAGACGAAATACAAACAGGTTGTTCTTGCTTCGTCACATGATAATACACGTACATAGATTTAATAGATATTGCGGGAATCTAGCATAAAATCGGGTGTGTACGTGTGTGTGTACGTGTAGGTGTGTCTGAGTGAATGTGAGTGTGATTGTTGGTAATTGAGAGGGGGGGGGGTGTATTTATATATGTATAATTATATATAACACGTATATATAATTATATATACCTATATACATTTATAGGTATAGGTACACTTACGGTGTGAGAGTTATCTCGGAAGCGGGACGCCGGGAGTCGCGTCGCGGAATTCCGTTTCCGGGATACATCGTACGCTAAAAATCACGATGTCTATCTTACGTGACAATTGTCTACCTATTAATCAGGCGTTCCAACCTCTGTATCTTCCTCTCTCTCTCTCTCTCTCTCTCTCTCTCACACAAGCACGGGCTAACGTGAACTCGATCGCGCAAGCCAATCGTTCGGTCGCTGCCGGCCACGACAAGATCAACGTATGCAATTTCATAGTGAAAGACCGCAGTGAGTCGAGTGAAGTTATATGTTACATCGAAACAGCGAAAATGGATCGTGAGGCTCGAGGGAGGGACGGATAGTCTTATCGTGGTGGCGATATTATCCGCACGAATGGTGAGATCTATTGCACTGCTACGGCTATTGCAGAAAAAGGGACCCGATAGTACAGATAAACGCTATGTGATATGCTCGGAATAGAATTGCAAACTATACCCTGATTGTTATTATTGTACAACTAGTTGATGGAGATTATCGATAAACTGTCCCCTTAGGAAACAAAACTGAAAAAAACCGACAGCCGACTGTACGCGGCACGTGTCTTCGTACGACGTAAAAATGTTTGCCCGAACTTCGTATACGAATTGGTCTGTTCCTTATAGTTGAACCAGCTACGCTAGAGCTTGCACTAGAGCTTGCACTAGTTCTATTTCCCTCGTTTTTTCGACACGAAGTCGTTACCTATGTTTCTTTTTAAATTCCGGAAGTATGCACCATTTCAGCGAACAGACCTAATATCTCATTCATTCTCGCATTACAATGACGATGGTAACAAAGATAACAAAAAATGTCAACTTGATGAGGGATCATACAGAGGAAACATTGACATTCGCGATATAAGATGCGTCGAAGTATACTTAACGCAATATTTCTCGTCACAATCTTTGACGCGCGTTCGGTCGATTGTGCATAGGAACGGCTTTTTCGCGTTTCTTTGCAGCGATTAAAGGCACATCCCGCGCATCAACGTCAATATAAAAAAAGGACAAAAAAAAAAGAAAAGACGGTTTACCGATAATATCCTCTTGTGTATCGGCGATTGCATTCTGCGCTCGCGCAATCGATTTCGCCCGGCCGCTTATCGCTCATCTCCTTTCGCCCCGGAACATTTGCTTGTCTTCGTATGAATTATTTGGTCGCTTACGGCGACCGAACACGCGCATTAAAAAGTCTATGAATGATATACTTAGAAATTAATGAAAAAACAATGATACTGTGTACATCGTCGGTGCTTCGTGTATACTTCGTCAACTTCATCGACACGCACTCTCGCCGCGGAGGTTCGGATAAAAAATTGAGCTAAAAACGGCGTCGGGGAAGAAGGTGGTGTAGGGGAAAAAAAGAAAAAGACGCCAAAGCAAACGGACACGCCGAAGGACGAGAGGTACGAACAACTTCTCGTTCGCAGGCGTGAAGTTCATTTCTCTCATTTCTCTCATTCTCTCTCCTTCTCCGCCTCTCCCTTTCTCTCTCTTTCTATCCACCTCTCTTTATCTCTCTCCCTCTCTCTCTCTCTCTCTCTCTTTCAACGCGTCAATTCTGAATCCTGGTCGAGGTATCGTCGGTAAACGATACTTCACCGTCTCCTGGCGACATTGAGAAGTACTTACGCTTAAATAAGACCTCGACGTGTTTCGCAGAACCTGACTTGGCGCGTTCCCTACTCGCGCGTTCGAGCGATCGTTCGCGATTTTTCACGGAAAAATTATTGAAATCCGCAAGCGGCAGAAGAGCCCGTACGCAGGCGGAATTTTTTTTCTCAATTTCGCTTTCACAGAGGGGACACTTTCCCACGGGACAGATCGGAAGAGATATTTTCATATGCTTCTTGTGCCGTTAAAGCGGCGACGAACGAACGGGATACTCCGGACACTCGGCATACCGCGGTGGGACCTTCTTCTCCGTTCCAACTACGGTGCGGTTTCTCGAGCGGAACGGCGGCGGTGTAACGAAACGATTTCGCCCGGGCTGCGCGGGTGGGCTCTTCTTCTACTCGCCGACTCGGTGCAATTCGCGAGAATTTAGACGATACTTCGGGTAACGTCGAGGTTCCTCGTAGACGTGATCTTTAGTGTGTCGAAAAAACGTTTCGCTCTTCTCCGCTAAGACCGTCTCTTCTCCGTCTAATCTAATTGCCATTCTCTCTCACTCTCTCTCTCTCTCTCTCGCATGCACACACTCCTTTAATCGCTACGGAGCATTAAGTAACTACCTTATCTTTGTCGAAAAATAGGACATCCTGTTCGCTACTCGATCGGTCGGTCCCCCAGTTCCTTGCTGGTCGCGCGTGTCTCGACCACGGTGCGCTTCCGAGTTTCTCCCGCAAGGTCTCGTATACGTCTGACAAAAGCGAGGAGTACTAAAAAACGCGAAGGAAACAGCCCGACGCTGGTGCTCGCGGTTCTCTCGCTCCCTAGACGACTCGCGTCCTAGGAAAAAGCGGCCCCGAGGCGCCCGCTCGATACCGATCCGCGCGAGCAACATCGATCGCGATGCGTATTCCTCCCTGCGAATCCTAATCTCGCGCTCGATCGCGATCGCGCCGACAAGCACACGTAGCCGAGCCACATACTGACATCCTGCGCGCCAGCTCGACGTCGATCGAGACACTACCACCGTCGTCGTCGTCCTTTTCCTCCTCCTCGTCGCCGAACGGTGCCGGAATGTTCGCGATCGCGATCTCGCGCGCTCTCGTCCGCGCTCTCCCCGATATTCCGTTTCTCCGGCCGTTAAAAAGTTAATCTTCGATATTCTAAAGAACACCACGGTTACAATCGCGCGGGCGATCATTCTCTCTGTGCAGAATCGATCCGCGTGTCTCGTATATATTCTTACGCTAAACTCCTAAGTCTTAAGCCGGCGTACCACAAGTGTTAATGTACAAGCTACACAAGCGAGTACCCGCAGGCAAATGGGAAGAGGTGCCGCGCACCTCATTGGCTATTGTGTACGCGCGTACGTGTAGTAGGTACGTCCACGTTCACGGAGACGATCGGCGAGATCGCACCTTCGCCCGAAAGTCGACGTTCGATCGATGCGCGAGGATACACAGAAGAAAAAAAAGTGTTGCTTCGAGTGAGTAATTACTCCAACGCTCCTTGGCAAATTTTTATTCAGATTGGACAAACGTTACTTGTATCGAGTTAATATTTTAATCGGATAATTTACTTAGAAAATATTTCACTTGGGTTAAGTAAATATTACTTAGTGATGTTGAATAAAAATGTGCTGAGGGGTACTGAAGTAATTATTTGCTTGAATCTAACACTTTCTTTCTACGTACATTCGCAGTGTCGCGCGGCTGAGGAGTTTTCCTTGAAATATTTTTCAACGTGTCTATGCGGAATTTGTACACAGAGAAAATATTGTAGTAATGATTGCCATAAGATTTTGTAATGTGTCGGACCACATCGGAATTATGACTGAAATTATGATATGTGCTGTAATCTTTAATAATGTATATCATGTGTACACATCATCAAAGATTACGACACACATAATAATTTCGATAATAATTCCAGTTTAGTCAGTATTACGAACTTTTGTAGCCGTCTTTATTATAAGATCTTCTGCATGTGCGATATCAATTTTCGATCGTCGTAAGATTAACGTCGTGAGATTTTACGCGCGGACGAACGTGGATTTTCGGCAACGAGCAGCTATCTCTCTCTCTCTCGATCATCTCCAAAGTAACTTTCACGAGGTTGATCGTGGCGATCGATGTCGCGATTAGATCGATCGTCATCTCGTTCTGCGGCGATGCAACGCGACCGGTTACCGCTGTTCATTCGTTGGAAATGAACCGTCACCGATAATTCACTTTATGGCAGCTTATAGGTAATGACGTTAATGACATTAACGTAAGGAACGGAGGGGAGGATCGCGTCTCGTCGGGAAATGTCAATGGGGACTCGTGACGACGATAATAAAAAAGACACGTTTCGCGATCGCAATAAACGAAGGCGACGCGCGCGCGTCGAGTCGTCGCGCGACACTGATACGTATAAAAATTTTCCCCTCCTCTCCCCCCCCCTCTCTCTTTCTCTCTCTCTTCTTTTTATTTAGATAATGATGTGTCTCGCGTAACGAAGTGAATATCGCCGAACGAAATCGTGCAAAACAAGTCCGGCCGCAATAGGCGGCGGCCGTCACCGATAAAAACAATCTACAAATAGCGGCAACAACTGCAAGACAGCAGGGTTCTCTTTTGTATTTCCTTTTTTTTTTTACCGTTCTCTCTCGTAGTCTCTCTATCCCTGTCTCTGTTCTCGTTGCGCTCCACCTCGTCTTCTCTCCCCCTTTTTCTTCGCAAATTTACTTCGCCGCGCCTGTACGCCTGGTTGGACGTCTTTGGTCGCGCCCAACGCGTCTCTCGGCTCATCCGTTACACGTCACCGCGCGAAAAAGCTCTCGTCGAGATTTTGCGTCTACACGTTCGAGATACATGGAACAGTTAAGGGTGATGCAAGGTAGGAAGTGTCACGGTCATGCTCGAGGAGTCTTCGAATGGCTCGGCGTTTCCGGCCGAAACGGCGAGCGGCAAGTTCTTTCGAGGCGTTTCTTACTCGTCACTTCGTGTATACACCATACATCGCTCGCGGTTTCACGCGGTCGCGCGCAGATTCCTCCTTCATTCCTTCGTCTTTCTTTCTTTTTCTTTTCATTCGTCACCCTCCACGCAGTGCCTCTCCGTGGAGGGTTTACAAGAAGATAAAAAAAAAGGAAAAAAAAGGGCATATCGTATCGGGAGAGAGACTGGTTACATTGTATATCCAGTTGAGATGCGCACTTACGCAATAACAGCGTTGCGTGCGGCCACAGTCGACGGTCGACGCTCGACCGCGAAAAGAATTCGCGACGAAGATCGGTTTGGCATTTCTTTCGGTTCCTTCCCCTCGTCTTGCGTCCGGGCTTGTTGTTTGTGCTGATCGAGCTCGTGCGGCAGAAACACGGGAGATTTCTCGTCAGCGGGGACAGTTGGTCGCGATCACGTCCTGATGTCTCAGCCGAGTCCAGCCCATTGCATGAAGTCGGGTACTTCCCTCACAGGTACGTCCCTGGCCAAAGCCTTTACCCTGAGGTTCCGGTCCTCGGTGAGCAGGACCACCTCCCGTCTCAAACGCCGCGGTTGTCCCTCCTCTGCTGCGGCAAAAGCCGAGGTTCCATTTTTTATCGACCTTACACCGGACCTCCCGCTACTAACGCGACTACCTTCCGTCTGGGTGTTCTTTGATAAATTTAGAGCAGCGAGGCAGCTCCTCTACTAAGTATTCTTTGATCAAATTCGAGGATCTCCTCGAGATCTCCTCTTTTCAAACAAATTTACGGTAAAATTTCGGAGAGATAAAGAACTCTCTCTCTTTCCCTTCGTTAACAAATTTAGCAAGCAGAAAAATTCCTCTCGACATACACTCTCGAACTAGACTGAAATAGAATCGCAGGGACCTCGACATTGCAGAGTCAACCTGAGCGGCGAAGAAAATACGAGCGAATCGTTGTGCGAACGAAAAGTTGAATCGAAACTCGGGACACGAAAGTACGAAACCCAAAGGGAATATTTCTAGCCTGATCTAGCCCGAGGCTTCGAGGAAACAGACGTTACACGTACCTGCGTTCGCTTGGTCTTTGCTGCTCATTCTACAGAGGCTGAGGCACGTGATCAATATCCTGTCGTCGTTCCGTGTCAGTCCGTCCTGGAACAAAACGGCCGAAATTCGTGTACCGATGAAGTCGGTAGATAATCGCGTTCCGTCTCACTTGCGACCGGCTCGGGACCGGCTCTGGGATTCGTCACAGAGACTGTCATTAAAATTTGAGTCTTCGCTCGCTCTCTTCGGGGCTCGCCGCCGCCGTGCTCGGCGTGTCAGCGCGCCAAGTGAACGGGCGCGGCGGCGATAGGCCGCGAAAAGTCTTCTACACGTACACCACGTGGGTGTTCTCTCTCGGATACCCGGCTCGTTATCATAACATTCGCGCTTCAATGAACATCGTCCGAGTGAGCCTACCGTTTCTCTCCCCACCTCCTCTCTCTCTCTCACACACACACGCCGCTATTGGTCCTCGGGAAGGAACGCGACTGCTCGGCGTTTCTACGGCCGTCTTTCTGCACGTAGCTGTTAGAATCGTATCGAGCGAATGTCAAAATCCATTCGCTTTATCGCGTCGCGCCTGTCGCGTACTTGCCGCGAGGCAAGTCCAGACACGGAAATCACGACGACAGTAACGAGCCCTCGATAATTTGCGCGCTCGAGCTGCGATTGTCGAAACGGGTTTTAATCGAACGTCACACCGAGAACATCTCTTCTTCTTCCTCCGCTTGACAGAGCAGAAAATAGATCGGCACGACCGGCGAAAAGCTAGGTTGCCGGTCGTTTGATCGCGGCGGTGCCTCGGGATGTATGTCGAGTGTAACTCGTTGAGTGTAACTCGCAAGTTGAAATGGAGCAGAGAAACATCGAGGAGAGTTCGAGCAAAATGCCATGTAGTTTCTGCGCTTCGATCTCGTTTAGAGCGACGGCGAATCTCGCGGGGTGTTTCGCGCTAGGACGTTAGACCGGTTAAAAATAAAACAGGCGAAAGATCGAGGTTCATCGAGAGACGCTCATTCTAAGCGGCCAACGGTCAACGATCGATGCAAATTCGCCTTCTAAATACCAGCGCCGAGTACAGTTACTCAAGCAGCCAATGTAAGCGTATCGAATCGCCGGAGCCTCGCTTCTCTTTCTCTCTTACCTTGTCGACGTCTTCCTCCACCGTAAAAGTGCTGGATGTGAGAACGGTGCCTCTTGTGGTTAAACAGCGGATAGCCGGATTTCGGCTTCTGGCGAAGGCCAATGCCGCCTTGGCGCTCTCGGCGACTCGCGCCACATGCTCGGGATCCAGCGCCGCCCTCGACGCCGGTGGACAATCTCTCGCATCGGCGCCCCGGGCCAAACCTTCGAGCTCATTTAGCACTGCAACAAAAAGCACCATTTCCGCCCGTTAACGACGCGTAAGGGCCATTGCGAAACTTATTCGCCGCTACTGCCGCAACAACGTCGTTCGGATCTTACCACGCGATCCGGGTTCACAAGTCAATGATCGATATCGATGTGTGACTTTTTGGACCGTTCGATTTGATAACTATTAGATTTTCATGCACGGAAAAAATCATTTCGCTGGCACAGCAAGTATTTGTTAATTATTGTGGGGACAACGAAAAGATTTGTTGCGCGGTACAAATAATGTTGCTGTTGTAGCAAAACTGTTGTGACAGCGATAAAATTTGATTGGCATAACTAAATTATTGTACTATCTATGTACCCAGCAAATAACAATTAATATTTTCTTAACAAATCTTTTTGCTGTGCAAACAAATTTTTTTGCTGCCCCTAATAGTAACTAACAATTTGCTGTGTCAGCAAAATATTGTTCTCCGTGTGAATATGCAAAAAAAGATCGATGCTATATCGTGTTAATATCATGTCGATGTATAGTCGATATCTAGCTATCTATATGATATGTTGAAGACATCACACAGGTGTCAACCGATTATTGATGATCTAGTCGGTACCAATTCGGTATTATATCAAAATCGAATCATTATATTCACGTATCAATCTGACGTGATATAAACTGGATAACGACTAGACTGTCTCAACATCTACATAATATCTCAAATATCGTGACGAAGTCTGACAAATATCAAATTGGACATTGACTTCCACATCATTTCGAGCGGATTTTTCATCAACATGTGAACCCGAGAGACCTATCGGCGCGACTCACCTCTTCGAATCGCGAAATGGAGTTCTTCGCGGGAATCCCTTCGGCGCAATTCAATAGAATTTTCGATATACTTTATCATGGCAGAGATACCATCTGCATTCGTATTGCGGACGGATTTACGCTTATATATACATTCGGACGGAAAATTCGAAGAGAAACTCCCCACGTCCCTCTGCAGTCTTTCCACAGTCGGGTAGAAACGATTTGCCGCAAATTAGGATCCTTTTCCCCTCGGTAAATAAAAAAATCGCCACCGCGCGGAGGATCTCAAAGAGAAGCCGTTTCTATGACTACCACGGCGCTTTCCTGCGCGCACGTGCGGACGCGTGCTGCCCCGACGGCATCGATCTCGTCTTCGCGGTCGAGATTGAGGGAAATGGGGTGGCGATGTGCTGTTAAGGCAAAGGACCATCACGAACGACCACGTTCAAAAGCTCACTTTTCCCTCTCTCTCTCTCTCTATCCTTCTCTCCCCAACGATCGGCGCCACGATCATCGTGGATATCGCCCACGTACCGATCGTAGCCGGGAGGCGGACGGTATGCCGCCGCCGACGTCGACATCGAGCCAATCGCGGGCGTTTCAGGCTGCATACATGCATTCATGTATGAGCCGTGAGAACCTAACTGTGAACACTCACCGTTGCTCACCATCGGAGCCAGACGGGCCCGTGGCTGGCTGGCTGGCCGGCCGGCCGACGGGGTCAAAGGGCAGCGCCGGCCGATTTTGCATGATGGTGCACTTTCGTTTTTCGGCCCCACGACCCCCGTGCGAATGACAAAAAGGAAAGGGAGAATGCACGAGTGGCAAAGAGGGTAAGACGACTCTGAGAAAGAGTCATCTTTTGTTAGAGGGAGCCGGATAAATCGACGAGGAGACGAAAAAAGGAGACGTGCGCGATGAAGAGCAGCCGGACTCGATATCGCGTCGCGCACGTCGTTTGTTATGTCATCCTTTAATCCATTATCCCCGAGCGCGAAGCGACGACGTTGAATTCTTTCGACGGGAGGATCATTGTCGAGTTGCCAGAGAGAGAGAGAGAGAGAGAAGAGAGGAGGGTGAGCTTCATCGACTCCATTCGCCACAGATTGCCGGCGCACACACGCGCCCGCGGGGATGCAATCTACGGAAAATGCAAATAGAAGATTCAGCAAACTTCCCCCGACTCGATAAATTAACCGACTGCCAACCTTATCCTCCTTCCAGGCCGGCCCTGTAGCAGACAAGGGCGGTCGGTAGTGGATGAAGTTCGTGAGACGGGGGTGCCAGGCGGAAATGGAAAGAATAACTGCCGAGCGAGAGAATACGGGAAACGGCGTTATTTATTACCCAAGACTGCGCAGACGTCGTTTATCATTACGCGATAAATAATTATTTCGTCGCCTGAGAAACGTGCGCGAACGTGCGCTGCGACCGACGCTCGGGCCGCGCGGGGCGTCGTGGATGCGCGTGGACGGAATTGAGAAAACTCGGCGCGCCGCACGCGATGGGACAAGTGAAACTTTGAGGGACGATCTTGAAATTTTAACGAACTCATTTCATCGCACGGGCATAGCAGAATAGCTACTCAAACTTTTTCACAAGTTACCTCCCTTCGCGCATTTCTCACAAGGGTCGCAAGTTTCTCCGAAACGTTGCCGCGAAAAACAAGATGGTATTTGATACATCGTTCGAAAGCACCTAATAAATCTTGGCTATAGCCATTATAATGCCAAAGTTTTAGCTGCTATGGAGTATAAATAAAAAAAGTTACATGCCAAAATATGTGTAATATCGGTTTGTTCATTTATGGGTAAACATTACAAAAGCTTTTCATGAAGGGCAAAATACATGAAGGTTTTTAATTACTGAATGATCCAAACAAAAATAGCCCTCAGGGTGAGCATATTTGATACGTGCTGTTTCATCGCGATCTTCCTTACAATGTCCTTCAATTAGACCCGATTCAAAGCAATGCTAGAACATTTGAGAAGTGTTTGGAAATATCCAAGATGAATACTGACACGACCACGTTTAAAAAAAAAAATGCAAATCAAGGTGAAACAATGGTAAAAATTAAAGAATAACAATGAATAATTTGAAATTAACCATTAACCGTTGTGATTGAAACATAATGCGCATGAACGATGAACGAGTCTCTAATCGCTTCCCCTATTGTCTATAATAGCTAAAGTCTTGGGGATATAAACATATCTCGTGACCTTCTATCTAAAAAAACATACTTTGGTTCTGCAACCCGCGGCAATTATATGAACCTTCCCTTGTCAGTTTCTCCGGATATTCTCGCTTCATCCGCGGGCTTGTTTTACGATTTCCTCATGTATCACAGAATTCGTGGAAGGTATCGCCGGAGAGCCGAACTAACGCGATGAGCCATGACCAATCGATGATCGTGATAATCCCCGCTTTTGCCATCAAAATCAACGAGTCGACGCGATTGTCCTTGCCCCATCGCGACGGCCGCGACCTAGGTTTCGTGCCTGACACGCGCCTTCGGCATTGGAAGCTCTTCCGTCAGGAGAACGATGACGAGGAGGGCCCATGACAAAATAGGACGCGCGCGGTGACGCAAGCCTCCGCGCGAGGACCGCGTTCGGATCGGCACCGTGAGTCGATTTTGCTGAATCGACGATTGGATCAGCGCTAATTGGCGATAGCGATGATGATTGATGAGCCTTTCGATTTTCAATGGCCTTGAACCTTGGCACTCGCGCCTTGTCTTCGACCGAGCACCGTGCGAGCGTGCCGCGTCTCCTAGGCCTGTCCAACTTGCGCGATCTTCCCGAGTTGAAATTTTCATGTTATTTTGACACTCCTAAGAATAGTTTGCCTACTTAGACGAATATATAGACTAATAGAAATCTATCGCTACCTACTTTGACGATACCGACACCTTTTAACTTCTCTTTTAATTCTACGGATTGAATATTAATGTTACCTTTAACAACCTATTTTCACGCTAAAATAGCAAAAGCGGAAATTGAAGACATCATCAGAGTCGAAGTAGGGGTTATATTATATCTTTAGAATTGAAATTGAATCTATTTTGTTATCTTAGCTCCTACTATATTGTACGATTAAAAGTTTAACACCTCGAATCGAAATTTTAATTCTACATTAAGTCTTCAAAGGTCTTCTATTGCGTTCTTTTCATGCTACAAATGGGAAGTTATGTCCGTTTTTTTCCATTTGAAGACAATATAAAATTTAAAATCTCCCCTCGGAGATTGAAATTTCCTCTGTAACATAAAAGAAGCACTATCAGTGCTCCTTTGATGCTACAAACGGAAAATTATGTCTGTTTTTTTTTTTTCACTTGAAGGCTTAATGTAGAACTAAGCGGACTTAATGTCAAAATTTCGAGAGGCTTCGCTGACCCGACGCGTTTCGGAAAAGAAGAAGAAGAAGAAGAAAGAGCGAACTCTCCACGTTAGGATTTACCCGACAAATTCAGTTCTCGCAACTTTGACAGAGAGAGAGAGAGAGAGAGGAAGAGACCGGTGTTACGTGCGCGATAACGTACATTTGCGCGCGAGATAACTCAACGCGCGCGCGCGCCGCGGTAACGGGCGCTCTGATACTCGAGATGAATATATCACGAGGAATTAGAGACCCGTGCGAGCGGATAAGATATACGCGCGCGGCAATAAATGTCCCGAATGCGCCGTCCTATCGTCATGCCCGTAACTCCAGACGCATTTACCGCACAACACCGTGAAAATGTCAGCCGCGCCGTGGAAGATTGTAAATTTACCGCCGATTGCGTTTCGCTGAGTAGCGAGTGCCTATATAACCACCATTAAGAAAAGAAACAACCGGTAATTCCGTCGCGCTCATCGTTGCTGCCATCATCTAAACGCCGATTGATAGGAACGTCTCCGTGAAAGACAATCGCGACTAAGACCCGACCGACGCGTGACGCGGATTTCACTTTGTCCGAAATCGGTCGACCCCGTTTGAAACGTAATTCTTTGACGAAAATTCTTTTATTTATGAGAGAGGTAAACACAATTCTCCGAAACGTATTTCCGGAGAGGTCGTTTCCTGCGGAATGCGATAATAAATCGAGCGCGAAACTGAGAAGCCGAACTCTCGATTCCACCCGATATAGATTTAACGCGATATTTCTAATTGATTCAAGATTATAGCGCACGCCCCGCCCCTCCACGGGTATCTCCTTAGAACAGTACGCGCTTTGTTATTCCTTGTATAATAGCGGTAGTACGGTTACCGCTATCTGAATCCCCCAGCGCGCTCGCCTCGGATTGCGTTCATTGAAGCGCATAATAATTAACGGATTCTAATGACGCGGTAAGTGCTTTAACGCTTACGCCAACGGATTTAGCTTGAGCAGCACGGCGAGAGAACACGCCGCAGGAACGAGGATTACGGCGTAATCGGGGGACTCTTCGCGAGCTCACACTTGGTTTATTTCTTCCAGCGCGAAAACACCGTCGATCAATAGCCGCTATGAATTATCGATTCCCGATGTCGAACACCGCGATTCATTTTTCCCCCGCAGCGTACCGTTAATTCTACAGTTGACAAAATATCCTCTCGATAAAGCACGCTTCCGTGCCGCGCAATTCGTCAATGTCTCATTTGCAATTTAAACGCTCTCTTTAAATTCGTGTAAGACTCGCGTAGTCTGCATTTGCATAAATACTGGGGCACTGTTATATTTACATAGCGGGACGCAATATGATGGTACGCTCTAAGCGGAATGCGCTCCGAATCCGAGGGACTCGGAGCGCGACGACGACGACTTGGGACCGTGAATTCGTTCGGGCCGGATCCCGACGTGGGACCGTTAAGGAAAGCGTGCCCTGACAATGGCGCGGTCGATCGGCCTCTGTCGAAGGATTACTCAACGTTAATTGGAGCGGAGGAATCGGCTCGCATTCCTCGGCATCATCATCCGCCGTGGAGCTGACGCAAGCGCCGTTAATGGCCGTGTCGGTCCGGAGTTCGATCCGGCAAACGGCGGCTCCCGATCGGACAAAGCCGTCGGTAACCGAAGACGACGACGAAGACGACGACGGTGAACGCTCGGGGATAAATGGGACAATTCATTCTCACGAGACAAGAGGGAGGGAGGGAGGAACGGAGGAGGGAGGTTTCGCGGCAGGTGACGCGTAATAACGATGACCCAATGAACTATCCTCCGCTAGGAATCGGCGGCGATCGTTCGACGACTTCGCGACGGCGGTGAACGTCGCGCTGTCGTCCTCGTCGTCGCAGTCGGGAGACTCTCCGAGGACTCGCGATTGCTTTGACCCGAAGAGCCGCCCGATCGCGCGCATGGGAACAAATATTTCGCTGGCAGCAGCAAATTTCTCAGTTACTATACGTGCAGCAAAAACATTTGTAACGGCAAAACGGTAAAATTTATTGGGATAGCAAGAAGAGTCCGTCAAGAGTACTAATTGAAGATGTTTTTGGCCATTGTTGATCATATTTCGTGCTAGTTTCCTGGATATTTTAGAAGCTAATTCGCGAGATTAATCGAGATCAGTGTCAATTTCGACGCGGGTACCCGAGGTTTTCAGTAACTAAATATGCGGCTAATTTCAGACGTTAGAAATTACTGATTTCTCTAACTATAACAGATAATAATGTCTGAGATTAGCTGTATATTCAGTTATTCAAGAAAGACTCGGATACCTGAAATTGACAGCACTAATCGAAATAAGGCAGTTAAAGGAGTCTCTTCGCTGGCACCTCACCTTTTGCTTGCAATAAAGTTAAATCAAAATAAATACATAAATAAAGATATACTCGCGAATAGCGAAAATTATACATAGGACGTTTCCGGTGGAGACACTGTGGGTGACTCGAGGCGAAATTACAAGAGACAATATCCGGTTTCGTTGATCAATAATTAGCGAGGTGTTGGCGCGGCGATTGCGATCGTACATTTGACGGGGATCGTCTCGCAACGGGCGAGAGCTTCCAATCTCCGCGACAGTCGGTCGATTTTTACGAGGCGAGCGAGATAGCGCGGCAACGAGATAGAGCTGGGTTTACTATAGATTCGGCCGGGCGTCGATTCGAGAAGCCGGAGCCTCCTCTATTTTCGCCGGAGCGGCGAACACGAGCCCGGCGCTCGCCGGAGAGCGAAAGAGAGAGGTACGATCTCTGCGTTATTTATCGCCGATTATTTCACGCGCCGGTCTTTTCGTGCGAAAGGTGGTATTATTCCGAAACGCGTTACCGCGGCGAGATCCACCTCTCGCACGAGATAATCGACGACCTTCGCAGGAAAAAACGCTCGCCGAGGTCGGAGGTCAAACGGGCGCGTACATGCTCCTGGCGAATGAGCCACGCGAGACTCGTCGTCGTCGTCATCATCGATCTCTTCCCATGTAGGAATCATACGTATACATTCGGCCAATACTGGCGAGGTACTAATTCAGTACTGAAGGATTTCTCGTTACGATAGCAATATCTTAAATAGGAAAGCGGAAGGCGGTATTAATGCGGAGTCTAAATAGCTCAGTGGTAAAAGCGATTGCCTGGCAAGTGGAAGACCCGAATTCAACTCCAGCCGAGTCTACCTCGGCCCGATCTTTCGGCACCTCATATGGCATTAACGTTCGAATAACAAGATTATTGTTGATAGTTATAACCATGTACAACTACTAGGTGGATCGATTCGACCGATAGATTTTTTTTTTTACAGAAGAAAGTGCTAGACTCAAGCAAATAACTACTCCTTAGCAAGTTTTTACTTGGATTAAGTAAATTTTATCTGGTTCAAGTCAATATTATTTGAATGTAGAAAAAGTGTTACAATCAAATTATATTTACTCGATCCAAATAAAAACTTGCTAAGGAGCAATTATTTGCCCGAATCTAGCAGTTTTTTTCTGTCTCTGGAAATCTTTACAGTTACAATACTTCGAGTCTTGGCCCACCGCTATCATCCCAACATTCTACTATTATCAAATCGATACCAGTATCTAGTATTGTTCACTAGAAATCGGTAGTACCTCGCCAGTACCTCGCAATTATTTCCCGCTTGAGTTGTCTCTCCTTTCGCGGCTCAGCCGTCGCGACGGACGGCGTTGAGATTTTGTTCTCGCTTACCGACAAGTGGCACCATGAGAGTGTAGATCGGCTGCGCGCCGGAAATGGCCCTTGCGATGATCTGCAGCTGCGGCAAGTAGTCGATGAAGCAGTTCGTGTCCGGCACCAGTTGCCTCGGTCTCACTTCGATCTCCACCGATACCGAGGACTTCTGCAAGATCGCCTGAACACACCGAAGATAAAGGCGAGCCGTTAAACACAGAGTTAATAACCCCCGTCGCTAGAAAACAGGTGCGCCGTGCGCAGGTGGGAAATTAAGATCGATCAGGCCGATGTTATCGGCGCGCTCTTAATTAACGGAGACGACATTAGAGCGCCGTGAATGATATTCCGCCGCGTCTTCTTCCCCTCGCCCAATCGCAAGCGCGAGCGTTATCTCAATTCTCTGTAAATCAATAGCCGGGCCATTTGCAACTGCACAGTCGAGCGATCATCTCGACCTGCATTCATCTTCGCGATTCACCTCCTCCTGCTCCTCTTGCGGCCGGAGATGGGCCGCGATGCAGCTTCATGCACCGCGTGCGCGCACGGTTGCATGCACCTTCCGCGCGCGCGACGCAGGCAGGTAGACGCGCGTGCGTGCGTGTAGAGGCGCAGGATGCGGCGGAAGACGCATTATCTTCCAATTGAATCCCACGTATGCGAACGGTGCGCCATCGCGAGAGGCAGAGTGGCGGGCGCACACCGCGCCGAACACAATGTCGGCCCGCCGGCATAACGCGAATGCCGAGTAACCATTGTTGCGACGGAGGCGCTACGAACGTAACGAGGCCTCTGGATGTCGCTTCCCTTCGTGGGACGATGATCGATACGCGGGGGACGAGTCCGAAGTTCGTCGTGAGAACGCTCGCTTCGAAAATGTCGAAAGGGAGAGAGAGAGAGAGAAGGTGCGCGACCCGCGTTCGACAAGGTGTCGTTTTTGAGACGTCCAGACGATTCCGCCGGGGCTCCGATCGTGGACACGTTTCCTTCATTAGAATGCTAAAGTATTCGCCACTTGCTATCTCAGTTCATTAACATGCTCCGAGTTGTGATTTAAAGCGCTTACCGTCGGCGTCTACTTTTAAGCGGAATAATAAATGCGAGAGCGCGGCTGTTAGTAAGACTCGTCTCCTTCTCTATTTATTTTCTATGGCCGCGCATACGTTTACGGTCGGGGGGCGATTACGGCTGAATAACGGCTGAACATTCCGCCGAAACGATGTGTAACTCGAGACATGAAGAGAGCCGCGCGACTTTCGGCAGATCAATCTCCTTCGGACAGATTCCTAAATGAATCGTCTGTTGTCGCGAGTATCGCAATCAAATCGAACGAAAAAAGAAGTTAAGTGACCTCTCACGTTGGATATTTTCTCGGATTGCGAGAGGCTCGAGGACAGACAGAAAGAGAGAGAGAGAGATAGAGAGAGAAAGAGAAAGGAAGAGAGGGAGATAAAATGGTCCTGGCAGTCGGTGCGAATATCCGCAACGGTATCTCGAGAATTATTCAAATTCGGGATTCTCCAGGATATCGGCTTAACACTATGTCCGCGATGCGGCACGTCGCACGAGTCGGCGAAAAGCATGCGTGGAATCTGAAGACGAGTCTAATTGCTCGTGGGAGCACACGGACGGAATGCAAAACTAGAGAGGGTCGTGCACGCGCGATTCAGTGACGTCGTCAGGCCGCGCCAAACCGCACCGCCCGCACCGCGCTATGCCGGACCGGTGTACGCGAATGTCATACACGTGTCGAGAACGAGATATATCGACGTCCTATTCTCGGCGCACCGTCTCTCCCGGTAGCGTATTACTCGCAATTTCCATTCCGCGAAGGGGTAAAGAAGGCCGGGCCGAGTCTGTCCGTTTTTCGGCGCGCGGAGCTGGACGAGAGTACGAATTCGGCATTAAGTCGACGAGCAGACGTTCTCGCGCATTTGTAAAAACGAGCCTCCTCCTCTTTCCTCGACCGATGATCGATATAAGTCAGGGGGGGGGGAGGGGTGGAAAAACGGGGGGCTAACGACCTCGAGAAGATTCGCATTATACGCAAATAAAAATGAATCTGTATGCGAGGACGCCCGACGCGGATTCATCACGACGGAAGCGAGATCCGTGGAGGACCTTCGCGAATAATTCCACGGCTTGGCCGTAAAAAGAGAGAGAGAGAGAGAAAGAGAGAGAGAGAAAGAGAGAGAGAGAGAGAGAGAGACTCGAGGTTTAGGTGCGTTTATTTGCGCGAGCGCGCATCGTCGATTATACATCTTCCGTTTTATAAATAATTCATTGTCCGGTCCGTACTAACGATAGCCCCGTACGACGTTAAGCGCTTCGTTCCCACAGTGTTCTGTCTCCGGATCCCGGGCGTACTTTCTCTTCATTTTTGGTTGGTCCACGATCAACGTACTCGGATCTCTCGCAACAGGCCCGTCCAAAAATCCACCGGGGATTTCTGGCCCCGGGGCCGGGGATATCTGTAATTATGTAAAGGCGGCTAATGGCATGCAAATTTTTCTCTAAATAACTCGGTGCCTCGGAAGGATCTGTTTGATTACACTCGAGGAAAAAAGAGAAGATAGATAGATAGATAGATAGAGAGAAAGAGAGAGAGAGAGAGAGAGGGGGGGGGTGGAGAGGGAGAGAGGGAGACTTCGCTGCTGAGACGTCGACGTTCGCTCGTCTAGACTACACGACTCCGTGAATGAATGGGAACAACAGCTGCTTAGATATTCAGATAGACACAGCAGAGGTATAATCGTAAGCGTGTACTCCATAAACGAGGGTCCATTCTAATTACGGAGACGCGAGCGCGCCAAGCTGAACATTCTGCGGAGAGGACGGACGCGTCGGATGAAAAGAGAGAGAGAGAGAGAGAGAGAGAAACGAGTGGGTGTGACGTTCGTGGCGCAATTTTCAAGTAAAATTACGGTCGATATGCAACCACGGCGCGGTGACAACCGATGTAACGCGGCGGAACGTATCCGTTCGTTATCGGGGGATTATGCGCTAATTTAACAGAGCGCGTCGTTTGTTACACGAGGTATTCGCAATTTTTTTCCTCGCCTCCGGCCGTAACTCACGCTCTATCTAATCGCGTCGTATCATCGCGCGAGACGAACGGCAGCCGCGCCGGCACGGGAGAGCATATTCTTCCGGAATTCACGCTTCCTCCCCCGCGCGCGTCTCATTACGGCTCTCTCAATGCGGCGCGCCAACGTGCGTGTGACAACGGCGCAAAAAGGCCAGGAATTTACTCCCGTTTAAAGTATTCGTGAATTCCTAAACGATGTGGCGTGTACCGTTGCGCACTCCCGCGAACACGTACCGCCGTTCCCCCGTCTCTCTCTTTTTCTCTCTCCGCCTTTATTTCATTCGCTCTCTTCCTCCCAGGCCCTCCCTCTCCGTTCTCGCGGTTCTCGTCACTTTTTTTCCCTCCGTGGGCCTGGTTGAGCCTCCTCGCACCTCGCGCCTCGCACCTCGACGAGAGCTGCTCGGTCTGCTCGTGAGAACCCTCGTTGAATCACGCATCGCGGCCCCTACGCCCGCGCATATTAAGCGCACACCGACACGGGCCTTCACACGGTCGAGCGGGCCCGCGCCCCGTAACAACATTGTAAATGCGCAACACTCGCGGAAACGTACCTGGTAACCGTCGGGGACAGGTTCGCAGATCGTCCGGCGGGACCGGCGAGGAACGTGCGCGCGTGCTCGTGCCGCGCTCGAGCGCGGAATAACGCTTTTCTGCAGGAAAGGAAGACGGAGTCATCGACTCCGTTCTTTTTCTCAGGTCGCCAGGTGCGCGTCCCTCCGAAACGACGATCGGGATTTTCGAGCCGCGCCGATTCGCCCGAAAATGTTGCTCGGTCGAAGATCGGGACGAGACCAGGAAGGTTTTATTTTCTTTTTCGAACACGGCGAATCGATTTGATCGCAAACTCGAGTAAATCGAGTTAGGATACTGCAACGTTATCGGACGACCGCTCGTCATAATCGAGCAAATTGATCCCGAGAGATGCCGAAGTGGTTTCCTATAAGTAGGTTACGGCAATGATGCTCTAATATTTCTGGAGTTGGGGCGCTGAATAAATGAAGCGAGATACGGATGGAAGGGTGGAAGACGGAATATCAGATTCCGAGGGGATCCGCGCGACTGTGTTGCCGGCTGTGTTCCTGAATAATATATCCCCGACCGGAAATGATCGGCCGTATGGTATCAACGCGCGCCGTCTCGATATAGCGTCACGAAAACGAGCGCAAGTCTAAGTACCGCTAAGCGAGACAAAAAGGTACACGTGGAATCAAGTTTATAACACCTTCTGGGCATTGAAAAACCCATCGAGACGTCGCATCGAGAGATGAATAAAAAAAGATCCGCTGTCGCGAATAAACGAGTCGTAATACGCCGCGAAAAAGTATAAGGATACGAGCAATTAGTAGTGAGCATCATGACCGGGCGAGCATGTGCTGGATGAAAAGCGATATTTTCCACGAGCCAAGAAAATCACTCTCGATGGACGAGGTTGGGCCATTACGGGCGACGTCGTACGCCCATCGGGAGTATACGTTCCCATAAATCAGACGCGTGTAGCCAGCCTCACCGGCCGCGGACGCGATCCACGTGTATCTGTTGCTCCATAATCGTTACATCTGTTACATCGTAATCGTTATCGTTTCAATTATCCGCGGACCGGCCGGCCGACGAAGTGTGAGAAAGAGAGAGAGAGAGAGAGAGAGAGAGAAAGCGGCGGGCTCACGCAGGTGCAAGGCGCGGTTCTTCTCGTGTGCATCCGCATAATTCTCGCATTACACCGAGGGTTAAGACGTTTCCCATAAGGGAGGCGGCGCGATAGCCGCGGCGATTTTATTGACTCGACGTTGACCACGTGGCGGGGAGCGTGGCGCGACAGGCAGGCAACGTGTGTCAACGTGCGCCGTTGCCGGGCGGATCGCGAGAGAGTCGACCGAAGAGGAATCCGAAGTGCCGCGGTAAATCGCGAGCGATACGATCTTAAAACGCCCATTCTGCCCGCGTATCGCCGTATACGATTTCGCGTCGCGTCCTACCCGGGCCTCCTACCCGGGAGTTATGGATTCGTCGTCGATAAAGCGCGGTATGAATTCTTGCCGCGTTTCGGATCTACGATCCGGCGGCGCCTCTCACCATGATAGCTTTCCTCCGATAAT